CCGTTACATGGCCATCATAACAGTGGGTGGGCTGGTCCCATTATAGTCCCTATGGGATCTCTACCATGCATGTAGCCTGTGACCAATGGAAATATTGCTATGTGACACATGTCTTCGTGTGCATATTGTTTAGTTTATTCTCTAGGCCAATAAGCCCAAACTGTGGTTGAGAAAATTTCAATTACCTTGAAAATAGCTTTGGACACTTGATTTTAGAGGTTTTGTTAAACAATAAAAAAAGACAACTTTCCAGCTGAAAGACATTTTTTCACCCACGTGGATGACACCTGTGATTTCCCCTGGAGATCAGTCTGGTGCAAACAGATTTCAGTTGATGCAGAAGGATCTCAGAAAGCAGTGTGGGGCCTTGTACTGTGAGGGCCCAAGGCAAGGGTATAGTTTTCCCCATATATTTCTTTATCCCATGGGTCTAGTACACACTTCTCCACATAGTACATGCTTAATAAAACTTCCCAAGTCGATTATGTAGCACATGGATACATACTCTCTGTAGCACAGAGAATGCTGAAATTGCAAAGATGCAAATTTTGACAGCAAAGGCAAAAGTAGCTAAAGTTACCCCTCAAAGGATAAAAAAAGAAGCCCTCAGTCTGCTCTTAGTCCAGGGAAGGCTTGGAGCTTTCTTCACTTGAGTTTACCTTAGATTTCTCTGAGGACAAAGAGGGCAGAAAGTTTCATGATTTTAAATGTTGGGGATACAAAGCCACAATGAGCAGTGTGCTGATTCTGTCTCTTGTTAAAGAGAGGGTAGCTAATGAAGGTGGTGTGTGAGTGTGTGTGTTAGTGTGAGTGTGTGTGTACGCGCGCACGTGTGTGCATGTGTGTGTGAGAGTGTGTTGAGTGTGTGTGTGTGCGCGTGCTTGCGTGCATGCATGTGTGTGTGCGTGTGTGAGTGTGCGTGTGCGCGTGTGTGTGTGCTTGCGTGCATGCGTGCGTGTGTATGTATGTGTGTTGCTCACTGGCAAAGTGGTCACACAGAACTCTGGAGGCATTACCTCCCCTGAGCAGCACCAACTTCCAGGGACATCTGTGCCTGCAGTGTGCCGAATCTCCACTAGGGGTCTCCAGTAGCTGGCGATTTGCAGCCGCAATTGGGTTTGCAGGCGGCCTCTTTGTCTGCACCCCAGGTGTGGACTCTTCTTTGTTCCCTGGCTGGACTGCTACCTGCCCTGGGAGCCAGCTGTGTGCTCAGGGCACCTTCTAAGTCCACTGAGGGCTATCAGCCTCTACCTCCGGTTCACTTCCTGCTCTCTGATAAGAACCAGTGTTTTCTAGCAGGGGTGGGTATCTTGTATAGGAAACAGGGCTTGAACTAAAAGGGGGAATAGTTCTTCAGTGAATTATGTTGACGATGAGGAATTGACAGCAAAGGGGCCGCTTTTCAGGCCAGAGTAACTTGCCATAAAATATTTAAAACTGCTTGACAAACAGCCCCACAATTCTCTCCTGAATACCGACCATTGGATTAATCTTGAAAGTAAGGACTATTTCATTCTGTGTTTAGAACAGTGAAAGGGAATGACCTCTGAGAAACACCCCAAATGATTGCTAAGGGCAGCTCCACATGCTGGGACATTCACCCTGTGGTATGTTCTGTCTGCCTTCAAACTTCAAAGGAACGCTAAAATAAAATAACAGATTATAGTAATGTAAGAGTACCCAGTAAACAATAAATTACAGGAGTTGTAGCAGTCCCTGCTGACCGAGAGACAGGGCACACAGTCTGTAAACATTTACGTCATTACATGTGGCTCTTTTGTTTTCACCATTTTGGCTTGTCTTGTTCAAGGCTTGAATGTCCTCACATGCCTGTCCACTGCCCTTTGTCCCCCAGAGGGGTTACTCATCACTCAGCGGGCACAGCCAGAGAGGCAAAAAGTCATTCAATTCATTGCTCATGTATTCAGAAAATATCTCTTGATGACCTACTGTATGCACGGCATGGTAAATTACACAAAAGCTGGACAGGTAACATCTTACTCCCTTCCCCACCCCTTCCAAAAAAGCTTTGAGTGACCATTGCCATTAAGACAAGGTAGACCTGTACTCTGCCCATAGGGAGGTGCAGCAGACAGCGGGTGCGGGGTGGGGGGAGGCATTCCACAGAAGAGCCGGCTGGGAAAAGAGAAGATTCTCCCGAAGAAGTGCATTCTGGGTAAACTTTCACTACAGCTCCTTTGGACAACAGAGAGAACCTGGACGGAGACTAGCGTTGGCTGATAGCTCCAAGGTACATAGATAGGACATAGTAAGAAAAGGTCACAGCTGAGGAGATAATAGGCAGTAAGGTTAGAAAGGGAAGGAGATTTTAAGGTAGGGGCCTGTTCAGCTGCCCTGGGTTCACTCGCAGTAACCTAGGCAGCAGGGGAGGTTGCTTCATGGATTTCTGATCTGATGATAAACTCTATAATAAAGTTTTAGCTAGGGGCTGGTAAGATAGCCATTTCTCCCCAAGCCTCAAGCCTGACTACTTGCACCTGAGTTCAGTTCCTGGATCTCCTCGTGTGCAAGCATGTATACGAACACACACACACGCATACATGTATAAGCATGCATGCATACATACACACATGTACAACATATAACTAACATACATGCATATACATATAAACATCCATACACAAATACACACACACATATACACATACAGGCATACGCACCAAATAAATATAAATAATGCAAAGGAAAGTTGATGAGTGCTATGTTAAAGCAAAATGACAATTTTAAGCTCTGTGTCAAACCACATCGACAAACCCTCCTTTGCCCATGGATCTTTTATCATTTGGAGGAAGATGCAGTATCTAAGAAAACTGCACCAGATTAATTAGCCTTAGATCTTCAGAGCATCAATATTCTCATTTCGTTGGCAACAAGGATTTTGTCACTTGGAAGTGAATGGAATGCATGAATGAAGGTGTTATTATTTCACTTGGGGAAACATGCCGGAAGTCCCACCAGTAGGTCCTACACCTACTGACAAAGGGATTTAGCTGACATCCTAGATGAATTGTTGACAGACCCAAAGCTGGAAATCAGATGCTGGTTTTCTTCAAAGCCCAGGTAGCAACAATCCTGTTGAGTAACGTAGCCATGTCCATCAGCTGAAGATCTGGAGGACTTTTGTCAATTACTAGCCAAGCATCAAATGTTGTGTCATGAACTCTGGGTGTCCAAGAGTGCTGTTCTCACAGAGGTCAAGGGTATGCTGAGCAGGCTCCAGATGAGGCCACACCAAGGTTGCACTGCCCTCCAAAAGTGGGTGGGGATAGTGACACTTGGCAGCTTTGGGATCCAGTTTCCTCAAGAGGCCCTCAGGCTTCAGCCTTTAGCAAGTTGTTTCTTTTTTCTTAAACAAACCAACAAAAACGGGTAGGGACACTTGTTGGGCAGCCAGTCACACTGGGATGTTACCCTGGAGGGGACTTTTAAATTATACTTTAAATCAAGTAGAAAACGTGACATGAGTGCATTTTGTGATCACTTAACATTTATTATTCCCTGTACATGAGGTCGTCTGTGGATGTGGAGGCCCCCAGGACCTGGCTGCTGTTTCCCAGTCACTCCTGATAATTTTCAAATGGACCATGTCTTTTTAGTCATGTTTTGCAACACCGTGCTGTTCCCAATGCGAACACTTTCCATTTTGCTCTATAATGAGAGTACTTTCATTCCTTTAATGCTTGCTTTTTCCTTTGATCTAACAATTTCTGTTCAAATTTCACAGTTTTCTGTAGCTTCAGGATTGAAAGAAACGATTACCCTGCTGGGAGCATGAAAAGGATTTAAAAAAAAAAATCTGCATGACATTTCCTCCCAGGGAAATTAATTTAGGTTTAAATACAGGAGGATGGCACACACCTGCTCTAGTCTTTTCCTCACACACCTAGGTAGTTCTTTATCCTGAAAGGGTACAGTTGCACCTGCAGCAGAGGCTGGGTCTTTTGTGGGGATCCTTTCAAGGGACAGACTGTTTCTCTGTGTAAGTCTGATGTCACCTTTGGGATGTTTCTATTTCTTTGAAGACCAGTCTCAGAAGCCCAGTGGACTTTCTGGGCATGGTCCCTGCCAGCGCCTGGGGTACTTAGGTGTAGCCAGATTGGCTCCCGGGGTGCTTTAGGAGACTCTTTGGCAGCGCAGGGAATCTTAGGCTCCAGAGCAACAAAGGACAAATTGGAGCTTGGTGTGGAAGGGGCGCTCTCCAGCCTCGGTGGCACCCTGGCCTGTTTCTGCCCAGCACCTAGTCCTCAGTGACTCCGCCTTCGTCTTCTGGACCCCCCCCCCCTTCGCCCCCGCAGTGTAGCTGCTCTGGTGCCCAGAGCTTGCTGCGAGTCCCACTGCCTTCCTCCTAGGACCCTCCATCCCCTTCTAACCCGGGAAGCAGCGCTATACACTGCTGCTCGGTCCCCCTTGCGTCCCTGGCGGCTTGCCCAGCACCTCGGGGCAAGCTCCCAGTCCAGTCAGTCCCCACCCCATGGTCCGCAGCCTCCCCCTGCAGCTAGGGGCTCGGGAGCTGTCAAGCCGGCAGAGCCGATTCAGCCCGGAGCGCCGGCGTTCCTCTCCTTCCTTTGTGTGCGCGCGCGAGCCGAGCTGGGGCGGAGGGAGAAGGGGGAGGTCGCTGTCTATCTGTCTCCCCCGCCTTTGCCCGGGCCGCTCGAAGTGCGGCGGCGGCGGAGGCGGGATCCCCCGAGAGCCGGTGCGGGGAGCGGCTGGGCGCCCAGGTTGCAGTCGCACTCAGGGAGCGGACCCACGGTGGGGAAGGCGGGGACCGTGAGAGCGGCGGTCCCATCCTCCCGCCTGGCCGCCTCGGCCTCACTGCACCCCTGCCACCCCGACGCCCGCAGCCGAGCGCGCCCAGGCGCCGAGAGGGACGGCGAGTACGAATAAATAGCGGCGGCGGCAGCGCGTCATCTGGCGGAGCAGGAAGTGCAGGCAGAGTCCGGAGGCCGGTGCTTCCCGCGCGTCCCCAGGACTTTGCCATGGGCTGGGGGCCGCGCGGGCTGCGAGCGGCCGGCCAAGGGCAGCGGCGACGCAGCCCGCACTGGGACTGAGCGAGCGGCGACGCGCGGCGCCGAAATGGCAGCGTCGAGCAACTCCAGCCTGTCCGGTTCCTCCGTGTCCTCCGGTGAGTTTCAGAGCGCGGTCGCCTGCGCGGGGATGGAGAGTCTACCTGTGGCCGTCCCGCCTGCTCTGGCAGCACGGCGCGGGACCCGTGGGACACTTGTTAGGGTGGCCCGCATTCTGGTGCCTCAGCACCTCGGCGCCTGACCTGTGACAGTGCAGAGGTGGGACGCGGTGGCGTCCCAAGCGTGCGGACCAGGGGTCTGGGGCTCCCGGGGAGCGAAAGCAGCCAGGTAGCCTCGCACTTTCTGCACAGATGGAGCAGGGGCGGGTGGCGCGAGGAAGGTGAGGGTGAAGCTAGGCGCCTTGGTACCTGCTACCATTGATACCCAGAGCCAAGGGTGCAAACCCTTGGTCCTTGCAGACTCGAATTTCTTTGTTTGTTTCAGAAATTAGCTCCTTGAGACACTTGCTTGGGCATGGGTTTGAGGGAGCAGCCAGGAGAATGTGCCTTGCTCTTGTTAGTGAAGTGAGATTGTGGAATGGAGGTCGAGCCCAGCCTCTGGACTCCTGGCATGTTTACAGTGTGTGTGTGTGTGTGTGTGTGTGTGTGTGTGTGTGTGTGTGTGTGTGTGTAAGAGAGAGAGGGAGAGAGAGAGAATATGTGCATGTGTGTGGTGGTGGGGCTCTAGACATGTTCTTATACTACTCTGTAATTTTACTTTCAGGGCTTCTGCGTTAAATGTTGGGTGAAAGAAGGGCTTTCAGCTTTTCTGTGGCTGATCAGCAGGTCTAATTGAAGAGAAAAAAAGATAATGAATGTGAAGGCATAAGAATCAATGGAGGCAGCCCGCTGCTTTCTGAACATGACAGGGTTCTAATCAAAATGATGCATTAGACGTAGTTCCACTACCCTTTTGGTTGCTGAGAACTTTAATAAGAAACCCTGAAGGGATGGCTGCTAAGACATTTGGTGTAGTATGCAGAATCCAAGAGTCAACACGGTCTTCAAGTCCCAGTGGGGATGTACAATGTACTAATGTATGCTTTTTATTCTTCTGCAAAATTTCAACTCTTGAATGGAGGAGAGACCCAGCACTGGACAGGAAGGCGGGTGGGAATGGAACCACATCTATGGATGTGTAACTAATGAAATCCTAAACACAAGGTAGGACTGTGACCAAGGTTCAACTATGATGTGGCACAAGACGTTTTTCTTTGGGGGGGGCAGGTTTAGTTGCAGGGAGCTGTCATTTTCTTAATGATTGCTGACAACTAATAAAAACAGCATTGTTAGGTGTCCTGTAGTTTGAGCTGCTGGCTGCAGCGGCCGGTGGGCAGAGCAGTCAGCTCTTATTAAGAGTAGCAACAAGTTGACCGCCTGTGGTTGTAATTCTGAGAACTCAGCAAATGCTATGGCTTATTTTTAGTACCCTCAAACCACTGCTGCTGCGTTTCAATTCATTTTGGTTGACTAACATTGAATTTAAAATGCAGAGCCATTGGCTTCCTATTAGCACATGGTTCCCCCTCTCCAAAGACTGCCCCGCTGGATGAACTGAAGGGGAAGAGGCAGCAAAGGGACATACTGGAAAAGGACAAGGTAACATTATCATTGCAGGATACACTAGAGGCAGGGATTACAGATGGTGTAGCATCTGAAATTTTGGATCTTGATATAGCTTAAGCAGTCTGATTGAAAAATCCTAACTCAGCCCTGGGAAGACTCTGCTGCTCAGAGAAGCCAGAATAAGCTACAGAGGGTGGTAATTGTTTTGCAGATAGGAAAATGCATGCTTACTGAGGCTTTCTTTCCTCTTTTTATGGACCACTGTTTTTTAATCCTGTTGGAAACTGGGAGATTGCATGAAACCAGAAATGCAGAAACGGAGTGGACATGAATCTACTTGCTATTTCATGTAAATCATCCTGACCTGTAGGCTTAGTTCACCAATTCATCAGACACTTTGTCTTGCAAAATATGGAATCATAGTTCTTTTTAAGCACACTTACCATTGTGTGGATAATGAATAATTCAGAGGACACAAGCAATTCACACCTGTGAGAGGTGTTGAGCAGAAAAGAATAGAGCCTGTTTCTCTGAGCAGCTGGGTTCTCTCAGGCAGAGGCCAGAGTCTGAGAAAGTAGGGCACTCCATGAACCCATTAGTCACCAGGCTGAAGAGCCGACTGTGGGCCAGGCTTGAGCTTCAAGGTTTAGCAAGGGAGATAATTCTAGCTTTCTTTGTAGCTCAAAACTTCTGAGATCATCATATTTGAATTCTGGCTCCACTGCTGACCAGTGAGGCATCTTGAGGTGGGTTACTTAATTTTTCCTAGCCTCAATCTCCTCATTAAGTCAGTATGCTGAGCTTTGGACACAGGGCCTAATGCATAAGAGTTCAGAGGCTGCAGAGATGGCTCAGTGCTTAGGAGACATTGCTGTTCTGGAGCAAGTGAAAGCTCACAGCAACCTGTAACTCCAGCTCCAGGGGATCTGATGCCCTCTTCTGGCCTCCACAGACATAACTACATATGTAGTACACACACACACACACACACACACACACACACACACACACACACACACACACACGCACACACGCGAATGTTGCCAACAGATTGTCTTCTTGAGGAATGTAATGAAGGCGCTCAATGGCTCCAACGGTAGGTGCTGCAGTAAACTCAGTGCACATAAAACCCGTTTCTTCCTGCATATGCTGAATTTGATCTTGAGTTTGGGCTCCATCAACACTACATTTATTGAGCATATACCAGATTTCAGGCATAACTGAATGTTTATATGGAAAAGATGACTTTAGAATCTTCCTTGAGACACAGCAGCAGAGACAGGCAGAAACCCATAGCCTAGAGTGATACAACACATCATCCTGTGAAGGACTATGCAAGGCGAGAGAGTGATTGCTTCAGCTGGTGTGGCCTGTGGAGGCGACACAAGGGTTGGGTTAGGCATTGACAAAGGAGCTTTCCAAACCGCAGGCAGAGAAAAAGGCATTTCAGGAAGACGGAGAACTTAAGCCCAGGCCTGGAGATGGGAAAGTCTCTGACTTTCCTTTGAGTTTCTTGGGGCTTGGGTCCTTTTCTCTGGTGGGTGGTGTAATAGTTTAGGGCAGAAGGCGGCCTGGGCAGATTGGAGCCAAGGGGTACCACAAAGTCAGACCATGCAACAGAGCTCATGTGGGAGATTAATTGTGGGGAGGAGCAAAGACAGCATCTGAGCTGGAGCAGAAGGAAAGTGAGAGGCGGGCAGGAAGGGCTTACCTTTTATAAGGGGATGTGGCGCATGCCCATGGGGAGAGAGCTCTACTTAGTGGCTGCAGCAGACACAGTATCACATCTTGGCTGCTGCTGACAGACTGGCCTACCAGGTCCCTGAGAGCAGACCGGACCAGAGGCTTTGATGGGGCAACCCCTGAGTCTTAGGATGAACTTGGACATCTGAACCCTAGAAAAGGAAGAGCTGACTTCTGCAGGGTCCCAATATGGTTCAACCCTGTCTCCGAGGAGCAGCTGAGAGGGAATGGAATTTGCTGGTGTTTGCAAGGAGGGAAACTACAGTAATATATTCAGTTTATGCTCGAGGTCCTCCGATTTGAATAATCTCACTTGCTGTTATTTAACCACATCAGCCGAGTGGGTCTTTGTGCCTGTTACTGACATATAAACTAATGAAGTTATCAGGCTAGCAGTAACTTAAAAATACATATTCTGAGAACTCTTCGGTGTAAAAGGAATTGGCATGCCTTTGTTTTGATGATGTCTGCTGATAATTAAATTTCACAATCACCTAGATTGGCAAGAAGGTTTGATTCCTTTTATTATTTTAAACCATCTTTAAGATTTTTAATATAGCCCGAGGTACTTGATTATATCCAGAAATAAACTGGCTGATTTGACAAACAGCTTTCTTAATAATCATGGGTCACATTTGCTTTTATAATTATAATAAGAACTTTTTGCACATTAGTAATGTGATTGCCAAATGGGGTAATTTCACAATCAAGAAAAGAAAAGAAAAAAAAAAAAAAAAGAGCAGCCATGCAATGTAGTAAATAAATGAGATATATTCTATATTAGATATTAAAGAGACCCCCTGGATAAGAATTTAGCGTTTTGGGAACATAAGCTCATGACATTATTAAAAGAAAGTTGACCATTTTTATAAAAGAAAAATGGTAAAAACCAGCACAGTGTCCAGTCATCAGAACCATAATTGAAATAACATTCTTGTGCAAGTTGAGGTATTATGTATGTGGTTTTTACAGAGCACCACTGAGGGTTGGGAGGTGGTGCTGTTTCCTGCTGTCACTCTGGTGATGACCAGGGGAACAGGAAGCAGAGTTGTTTCTTACTTGTCATTGGGAGGGAGGAATGTCTACTGACATACACAGTCTTCTGTATCCCGAGATGCAGAGGGAAGGCCGGGACTTTGGTATGGCAACCTCTAACTTGTGTAGTTAAGAGTTGCATGGATCGAGCGTCTGTCAAGGGACCATGGCAGAGGCAGTTATGTGTGGAAGACCTTGCATTGCTTTCAAATGTAATATTATAATTATCTATGTTAGCAAGTGGGGGGTGATTGTCTGTTGTGTTTTAAAAGACATGCATAAAAATTGGACTTAAAACTCAAAATGAAATAATCAAGAGTTGGACAACTAGGATGAATGCTGAGGGAGACCATTCCCTCAGGTGAGGCACATCACCCGAGAATGATGTTTAATGTCAGGTTGAACATAGTAGCTTTCAGTGCCCCATTTGTAGTAACTCAGATGAGCTCAGTGGCCTAGTATCTGAGAGATTAATGACAGTCTTTTTAAATATATTTGTTATGGTATTTATCATAGTTTGATGGCCTGGTCACCAGCCTTGATGCTGCTGAGAGATAGTGGCACTTTTGGGAGGCAGGGCCTACGGAGTGGAGGGTGTGGCTCCTCCCCATCTTCCAACCATTAGATGAACAGATCTCTTCTGCCAGCTGTTCCCTGCCAAGAAGTCCTGTTCCACAAAGGAGCTAAAACCCGACCACTGATGGAAGCCTCTGAGA